CTCAGCGCTGCCGCTCGTCAGGGGCTCCCTCCTCTGGCTCGGGGCGGGGTCTGGGGCACCCTCTCACCCCCTGCGCTTTTGCCTTCGCGGTTTTTGCCGTGGTTTTGCCGCTTCAGGAAGGGTCCCCCGGCACCATCCTCCACTCCGGAGCCCTTCACCTCGGTGAATTCGCTGCTCCATGCTCCTTTCCCCCATGTCATCCCCATAGCACATGCAAGCTGCGCACAGATGTCTCCAGCTTTGTGCAAGGTCTCCGGAATGGCGAGCTCCTTCTCACTGTATGTCACTCCTGCCAAAATGCCTCCCAGCCAAGGTTCACTTATCGCACAAATGCTGTAGGCCAATCCGACTTTGCCTCAGCAGGCTTCCTTCTGGCACTGGAGCTTGGTGAGGAGTTCCCAGTTGTGCCAGGGAGCTTTCTGCCACCTGCATTGGCCATGCTGAGCATGTGAATGTCTCGTTCCTGCTCTTTGAGAAGGTTGTTCTTACAGGGGGAGTAGCTGCATGTGACCCCTTTTGTGGCCCCTTTGGGAATGGTTTCCTGTGGGATCCAACCACCAGATCCTTGAGGAAGCCAAAATCTGCTGTGTCCATGACCAGAGCTGTGACTCTGCACATGGTCCTCCTAATCTGTTTGCATGCTGGCCTCTGCAGCATGGAGCAGGGGCTTCCAGCCATGGCTGACAAAGCGTTGGGCTTAGTGATGTGGTCGAAGAACCTCACAAGGCTGCTGCCCCGCTGCTGCTGACCAAACAGGTTGCCATGCTAGCAGAGACCTCACAATCAACAGCCCTGCCGTGTCACCTTTCCCAAATAGTGGTGTAAGTTGTGCTTGTTGCTGTGGGAAACTTCCTGAGGTAGAAGGGCTGCAAAGCACAGGAGGTTGTTTTCTCTGCATGCTGCACAGTTTGGATCCCAAAGAGAAGAAGCAGAGCTGGGCCATGGTGGGTGTGGAAGCAGCTGTGGTTTAGGCAGACCAATTTGCAGCAGGAAGGATGGAGATTGTCTTGGTACATCAGCAGGGGTGGTCCTCATGCCTTCCTATAGAAGAGTTTTGCTAGGATGTGGAAGAAGCAGAGAAATGGTTTGGGGTTGTTGCAGTTAGGTGCTATTAATATTTTAGAGACTAAATGCCTATTTTGATTACTCCAAAAGATGTAAAATTTGGAGATTCATTTATCTGCTTCACATAAAATTGTGTTTCTATGCAACAATTTTTATAATTTTTATTGTGATTCTAGTGTTATTTTAAAACCAAACATTTAAATGTTTCTGTATTTTGTGAGGAAGACCGTGTTTTATGTAATTTTTTAAAGAATCTGAATGGAGCAATAGTTTTGGAAAGAGCCAGGCATCATGTAAGCTGTCACTTGGAATACTTGTCTACACAGCCTCTTAGTCCAGGTTGCAATATTCTTGCTATGCCGTCTTTTTTCATGTTGGAACAGATTGCCAATCATAAAATATATCTGTGCAGGTGACAAGTTATCCATAGAAAGCAAACTGATACCACTGAATGTGTCTCACTTGTGACCTAAATCTAGACTAACTCACCTCAGGCTTGAAAAGCTTGTGCATTAACCCACTGTGCCATCTAACCACCCTCTACCTCTGGCAAGCTAATGAATGATTCAGTGGTTTTCATGGCTTCAGTTCAACACGCTATTTCTGCAGCTGGAGACACAGTTTTAAAATATTGCAGATGGAACACATTTACAAAAGCTATTGCTCATTAATGCGATTTGTTTGCTGTGTTGTCTCCACAATGGCTTTTTTCCATAATCTATTCACTTTCAATTTCCTATTGTTCTGATACTGCAGTAATAATAAAATGCTCTGTAGAAACTAGGAGGCTACTTCACGTTATTTCAGCATGATCTTGACCTCCATGGAGGAAATATATATGGACTCTTCAAGCACTACCTACCTATGAATACATCATTTCCCTTAACAAAATGTGGAGGGAAAAAATTCAGATATGAAATTTAACCTGTTCCATGTAACTCTGATTTAATCTTTTCTGTAGATGGTACTATGGAAATAGCTGGATCACTTTACTTTATTAGCTTTGCAACACAGAAAATAATTTAGGCATCCTGTCCATCCAACTAGATATAGCACTACAAACAGAAATTTTCTTGTTACTGCAAATCAAATACATGGTATGGAAAAGAACATCTGGTGCTGAAAAGAAAGGGCATTTCAGATGTACTCTATTGGAAATAATCAGTGCTTTCCTAAAGTCAGAGTGCATTTCCAGTTGATAAGGACCATGGACCTGGGGTTCCTCCCAGCCATATCATCCTGTCCTTGCTCAGTGCTACCTCAAAAAGGAAACATGGAATGTGAAATAAAAAGAAGTAATTATGCTGAATGTTATTTAAAAGTATCAGGCACTGCACACGAGGCCATGAAGTTTCCTTCTTTCATTTATTTCAAACTCAATTATGCAGATATAAGGAAAGTGCTTAAGGCAATTACCTGTTTTACTCTCATTGATTTTCAAAGGAGTGAAGGGGTCTAAATTCATTAGAAGCTTTTGGAACTTTTGTTTGTAATCTTCTGTGATTATATAGCCCAGAAAATTAGGGCACATTTTATTACAATAAAAAACAGATGTGCAGCACATCCATTGAAGATTTATTCTATCAAAAGCAAAGGAACAAATACCTCAAAATTCCACATTAATTCCAAAAATAATGTGATGTTCCCCTTAGGAAGAAAATTCTGTTGGTCAATACTAAGTTACATAAAATACATCTATTTGACACTGACCACATGCCCAACTCTGTGTTTGATCTAATTTAAGACTATTACCCCACTTTTTTTTTCAGATCAGTGTACAGATACCAATGTTTATCTTAGTGTCTACCATCATAGGTTTATAAAATCATCCCCAAATGTTTGTTTATCCAGATTCTCAATGTCATAACAGCCTACCATGTCAGCTTGAGCTTTAAGGTATTACGCAGCTTGAGGAAAGTTAACAACATTGCTTTCAAAATGGAGCCTTCAATGAGTATTATCCAGCTTAAATGTCAAGGATAGATCAACTGTTTTAATAGATGTGATGAAACTTTGGAAACTATTTTCAGAAGCACTCAAACCTATCGTGTAGCTTTTTCAGTATCAAACAATGCAGAATACCTCGGTCCCAGCTCATCCCACAATACTACTCGATTCTAAGAGATGCCAGTGGTCTCATACCCACCACCCATGTTACAACTGCATTTTACTCTGGTCATCTTTGCTAGGAGTACTCTTCACTTTAGACAAGACAAGAGGAATGGTATCCTACAGTATTTATACAAAAATTAGAAAAAAAGGAATAGAAATATTTTAATTTATTTCTATTATTTTCCTAGCCTATTGACCTTAGAAATGATGTCTTTTTCTTCCTGTAGAATAGCTGTATTTGTATATTGTTGTAATTCATTGGTTGTTTCCTACAATTCTCCAATGAATAAATTGTTACAAATGCTGTTGTCAGGCCATTCACATTTTCTCAGTATGCAGCAGGTTTTACATACACAGAATGTTTAATTAATTTTCTGATTAATGGGCTTTTTTTATTATGCTACTGCCATTTGGCAGCTGTTTTGACAAAACTGCCTTCCTCATTACAGAATTTCTACTTGTGAAAGGAAGTCAACCATGGCAAATGGGCTTATTGAATTATCCAGCTCACCAATTATATAGTATAAAATTATTCATCCTGATATAATTTGATCAGGAAAAATCATTTATCTTTAGTAACTGTGTTAAATTAGGTATTATTCTGCTGGATAGGTGCAATTTTGCAAGTGTCTGTACTTAGAGAACTGTTTTTAATTTACTTGAACGCTAAGTTATTGCCTATTTTCTGATTTCACTTTGTTATCAAAAAGGTTAGTTTCTGACTAATCACTCCACTGAGCCCAATTCATTCAAGGCTTGAAAAGCAACACTTAGCCATTTTAGAGCAAAATGCCAGATTGATACATATCATTGGCAATACAGTTTTGAAAGATCTGTTATAAAGGTATTTCAATCTGTGTATAAATCAATTAATTCAAAATCAGCCTTGCAACTTCAACATTATTTAGTTGTGTGCTTTGCATGTATTTTGGCACTGTTGCAGCAATGTTGCAATCAACATTGGCATTACAATTTTAAGTCCTATTTTATTCAACCTAACAAATTTAAAATTAACCTCACTTTCAATATATTTACATCTTGTCATTACCCTACATAATGTCTCTTATTAAAAGACAATGCTTGATGCATTTGAAAAGGAATGTTGTAATGTATTAAAAAAAAAAAAAAGTGTAACATTATTGTGGACTACAATGAATAGTCGGTTAAAAATAAATACTTTACTTATTATTGCTTAGCTTGAAAAATATTGTAATCTGCCTTATGCTCCAGGACCACTTTTTCAGTGTAAAACAACCCTGAAATTCTTGCTGAACAGTACAGCTACTGTGTATTTGGGGTGCACTCATCTGGGTAAGTCATCTCAAGGTGTTCTCCAAATATTTCACTAGACTCCGCAACTTTCTCAAAGCATAAGTGAGTCCTTTATCTCCTCTATACAGCTGGATAAGCAATGGCATAGTGACTGTACCAGTGTGCATAGACATAGGATTGACACCTCTTCCTTCAATGTAATTACAGTTTTACAGCACTTTCCTTTCCTGTCCTCTGTGAGTTCACAGTCCACACTGCTTTTTCAATGTCATGTTGATTCTTCTCTGCTCTCATCTAAGCCCAGTTTGTGTCTTGCCACCACAGGGTTTATCATACCATGTATAAGGATAAGCACTCCGCTACTTGTCAGACCTTACCAACCATTCTTAATGTCTTAGTCAACAGAAATGACAGAAAGAAGAGTCACAATCATCCTGTACTACACCATGAAGTCATGTTTACCTGGAGGATAACCCTATGCCCATTTCCCTTTGGCTTCACTCCTGTTAGTGTCTGATTTATCAAAAGGATATCAAATAGGTGCTGGAAATACCTGGGATGGTAGCGCTGTGGTTCTACAGTGACTGTTGTATGCCTGGACTTTAGTTCAGCTGGTGCCAGCGTCAGCTGCATCTTAGATATCCTTGATACGCATAAGTGTAGCTGAGTTGCTGGAGCCTACTGGTAATGAGATAATTATCACTCTTAATAACTGTAGGTTTGTATTAGAGTACCTGTTGTAAGATCAGATTATCCTCCATATTGGGATGATCAATAATGGTCTGCTAACTGAAAGATATTCCTGTTCTGCCTTCATGCTCTTGCATTGGCACTGGCTCTCAGGTGACAGTCACCTGTTTCTGTACTCCAGTTCCAGTCCAGTGGGTCACTGTACTTTTGAAGATGCCTGGATTACAGATCTGCTGCAAAGTAGGTCAGAACATCCACCATGGTTTTCACTGAGAGTAACTGAGGCCTGCAAGGCTATGCACCATCTGGTCTTTCTCCCATGGCTATCTGCAATGTCTTTTTTTTCTTTTTTTTTTTCCTAAATGCAGTATGCTCAGTTTTACCAGAGACACCTTTGGGTCACATATCCTCATTCAGTGTCCCCCTGAAGAGCTGATATTTATTTAAATTAACAAAAGTAATGCATTAATCAATGGCCTTGAATACCCTGGTAAGCAGTTCATACAGGTTATCATCATCAGCGCTGGCCATTTCTGGTCTCAAAACTTGGAAGTCATCTTCCAGGACAAGCAGTCACAACTCCCTTTCGGGGGATATCAACATTTATGTTGCTGTCAGCAGCTGTT